GAAAATTAAGTCTAAAAAACGAAAATTAAGTCACTCTTGACAAAAAGTAGCGCAAATTTCAATCTTTAAGAATGAGATTTCACCTTCAGAATGATATTCACTTAAAAAATTTTAGAGAGATAGAGTCATGTATTTTATTTGCTACAACGTAACATCATTATTTTTGCAGTTTACTGCGAAATACGAGGCCGCACGTCGTTAGAACTGCCTGCCAGGTAGCGATGGAATTGTACAAGACAGTCCAGTGTACTCAAAGGCCTGAATTCGATGAACTTGCATCTACGCTACTTTTGAAAAGCACGCATACGAACAAAGGAATCCGAAATGACGCACAACGTGCCTTGGATTCCATGGTGTCACACTTGCCTCCTGCAACTTGTATTCGTATATTGACCAATGAACATAGTGCTAGGTGATTGAATGTACTTAATCTCATCTTTGCTCCAATCGACATCTCCAACAATTATATTGTAACATTATACAGCCACAAGAATCCGTTGATAAGGGCAACTATTAGTCGATTGCTTTATAATATTATTAATATTATTGGTGTGGAATGTTTATTGTCAAATTCTAATCTCAAAGACCTGCGCCGTAAGATATTCACAATGTGTGCTAAATTTCTTCTTGACGGTAATAACGAAACAAGGTAAATCTCAAAACGTAATTTTGATTCCCATCTATTGGGAATATATCGTCAATAATATTTGCTATTGTTACACTTATATAACGTATATTAACTACAGGAATGATGCAAAAAAGACATTAAAAGTGATGATGGGTCATCCAGATTTTGATATTCTATTTTATCAGGATGTAGATTGGAAGATTATTAGTAGCGCAGAAAAGCAATTAGTATCTTTGAAATACAGTTAAATTCATACTGTGTAACATTATTATTATGTAATGCGTTTAGATAATTAAAGAAATAAAAACTCATAAATCAAAAAGTTCAAATATGTTTTATGTGACCTTATAGAAAGATCTAATGCAATTTTGGGATATTCAATTTTGCGCTCAAATGCAGATAAATAATATCCACTAATAATATAGGACCTATAAATTTAATCCCGGATCCGAACTAGCGCTACAGTGATCAAAGAACTTTTTAATCATCAGGGGTGCGATTCTGTAACTGTTTTACACGCCTACCGATAGTTGTCGGTGTCAGCTTTTTCACCATATAAAAATCTGCGCAACGGGCATCGATAACTGTCAGTAAGCGTGTAAAGACATATATATTTTTTCGTCTTTTTAAACGCAAAAAATTGTGTTTAAAAGGCAAGTGGGATTGCGAACTCGGATCTACAGATCGGGAATCAATTACACGGAACGGCAAGCCACTCGACGTCTGATATTATACGATGTTACATGCCACAAATATATTAATAATATTAATTGTCTTTCTTAAATTTTGTTCTTCCTCTCGGTTTATTGTATCTTGTTAGAAACGTGGGGACCATTTTTATATCCACTGATATGGGATGTATAGTTTTTAATCTCAAATCCGATGGTCTATCAGAATTAAGAGATTGTTACATAGCAATAAAGATACTCTCGGTTTCCTTCTGAGAGATGACGATCAAATAAAATCTGATGTATGTGTTCTATATGGAAAAAAAAATTTTGTTTGACACAGCCACGCAACTCTACGCCATGATCGTCAACTCTTAGATAACATTTCAATAATAAAATACGTTGGTATTAACTACAGCATTAAGTGTTAATTACATTATTACTAAATTCCGTTAAGATAATTGTTTACTACTTTTAAGTGATAAACAGCAGCCAATTACATTATCTAGAAAATAGAGTCATCAAATTGCGATATTATGTAATAAGAGTCCAGAAAGCGAGTTCTTACCAACAATTTTTTACCTAAACAACATATATTATCTAAAAAAACCTCTGTTTATTGGATCTCTTTTGGATATGTATATATCCTAAAAGATGTCTTTATGATGTCTTTATGACGTTCTTAAATATATTAGATGAGAAAATTTAAATTAAAAATTTCTGATATCAATAACTAAAACAGGGATCTTAATTATTTGTAGTCGATAAAATTATTGTTGACTTTACTGACTGTTGGCAAAATCGACAGTAGATAAAGTAATAATGACTTACCGGCTGTCAAAAAATCAACATCCATTAACCACTAATTCCAATATCAAGAAGTTTATTATAAATTTGAAAAATATTATCAGAGAGAAACCTGAGAATGCAGGATATCTCGGCCTTTTTCATTCCAAACCTCGTTCCTATAAAAAGAGAAACATAAAGTGTGTTAAACAAAGAAAGATTCAGTATCAATTAGACATCATTTAAGACATTATTTAAGACAGTTTTAAAATAAAAATGGACTATGAATATCGCTCCATGTTTAGCGTTTCACAGTTTGGCAGTTTTTTCCCCTCACGCTCACGCGTTCATAGACAGAGACGGCGGAGATTTAGAGAGAGACACTTGCAAACTGAGCACACCATAGGTCTGATTTCTCTGAACTAGTGTACACTTTTAACTTAAAATTTAAAGTGAGATAGATATATTCTAAAGCAGTCTAGTGCAGGGTATCAATCATGAAACTTTATCTCTAGAATGAAAAATTTTAATCATTGAAGTGAATGGAGAAATTTTTCACTTTTCATCCTAGGAAATAAGTTTCATAATTCATACCCAGGAACAGAAAACAGACCACTTGTTATCCCTTCCATCATAGGCTATATCGTAAATATGGCGCAGAGCATTGCTTGAGACGCGAGACGCAACATCGACGACGCGATATTGGAACCCGCTGTGTTCCACAAACGCGTCGTGGATAGACGTCTGCTTTTAGAAGGGGTCCAAAATGCCGTCAGGTCACTGCCGACGTCGTCTATCGACCACGTCGCAATTCTGTTCAGTTTGAGATAAAACGCAACGCAACGACGTGATGAAATCCGTATACAAGTTGTTCTTGCTGTGCCTTATCCTCACCGCGCTCATAATACTGCTCAACGTGACCACCAATTTCTCCATCAAGCTATACGACCAACCATCAACGAGCAGGGAGCGCTTGGCGCTCTCGAAGAAGTCCCCAGGTACCCCGTCGACAAACGAGGTGACAATATGCGTAGTCGTATGCGGGGACAGGCTGCACGAGGCCCTGACTATGCTGAAATCGGCACTGGTCTTCACCAGCAGGCCGCTACAATTTATAATACTGGCTGAGCAGAATTTGATACCAGCCTTCAGCGAGAAGTTGTCCGAGTGGCGACTCATATCCAATAAGACCTTTGATTTCCTGGTGCGGCCCATCACCTTCCCGGATGGTAGCGACGTGGCCATGTGGAAGAAGCTGTTTAAACCCTGTGCAGCACAACGACTGTTTCTACCAGTAAGCAAATCTGACTAGCGGTCTAATTTCAGGATAGCGATTGTGTAATTTTTTCTCTAAAGAAACTTGAAAAGTGAATAGAGTTATTTACTTCAGAATATATGATAGCCAGGAAGAAACTTGATTTACAAAATCTCAATACTCCATTTCTATTTCATACTTTTTAATACTTGAAGGACTTCTTCTCTAATTATCTTTAGCACTTTCCTTATTTTTTTTTTTTTCAATTTGTCTTGTTTCCATTATCATAGCCTAACTTATATTTTTTATTATTCCACCACCAGTTATGTATAGTTATACACAAGAAACATGAAAAATTAAAATTTTACTATTGTAGGTAATGAAAAATATTAACTTTCCTGTCTTAGGGAAAAAAATTACATAATCATTATCTAATTAACATTGTTTTTTTCTGAGAGCAAGATTTACAGGATTTATGTTTTAGACTGTACTGAATGACACGGATGCGGTTCTCTATGTGGACACGGACACCCTGTTTCTGGCGCCACCCGAGAAAGTCTGGGATAATTTCAAGAAGATGAACTCCAGTCAGCTGGCAGCCCTTAGTCCTGAGCACGAGGATCCCAACACTGGTTGGTACAATCGATTCGCCAAGCATCCATATTATGGCAAGCTGGGGGTCAATTCAGGAGTGATGCTGATGAATCTGACGAGAATGAGGAAGTTCCGATGGACAGACTATGTAATTCCCATCCACAAGGAGTATAGACTGAAGATAACCTGGGGCGATCAGGACATTATCAACATAATATTCCATTATCATCCGGAGAAGTTATACGTATACTCATGCCGGTACAACTACAGGCCCGACCATTGCATGTACATGTCAGTGTGTGCGGAGGCAGAAAGAGAAGGTGCTCTGGTGTTGCATGGTTCTCGCGGCACATTTCACTCGCAAAAGCAACCACCTTTCAAGGCCATATACCGGGCCATGCAGGAGTATCAACTAAACATGGACCCGTACGACGAGCTGCTCGTGCCGATGAGGAATTACTTGATGATGGAAGATAAATCGAACTGTGGCCGCGTCTCAAAGGTGTTTATCATCCAACCAGAGCTGCATCTAGCTGCCCGTAACTTTTGAAACTTTTACTCGTTTGTAATTGAAATTACATATTCGCGTTAGCTTTTTGTCTTTATATCTTTTTATAAAACTTTTAGATGATTGTTTTACGTTAATTGATATGGATGTTGTATACAGATATATCGAAGCAATAACGAATAGAGTATAAGCATTTATATGTATTCGCGAAGTCTTTCGGATGTAAATGTAATATTTTCTGCGTTCTTCCGTCTCGGAATTCTTAAGAGAGATTTTAGATCCTAAAATACTTAATTACATAAATACTTATATGTATATATACTTATGTATGTGTCTTAATACATTATGGACTATGTGGTAAAGAAACTAATGATAAAAGTATAAATCATCGTGATGTATATAATCATCCTACTACGTACAATTATCATATAAGCATCTTTATGAGATTTACTTATTACGCAATACATAAAAATGGGGTAATTAAATTATCTCCAATTAACAATTATTATTTGATTTATCTATGCACATGGAAAACTACGAACTCACGCGACCTGTCCACAATGTATTAAGTCAAAGAGTCTAGAAATATGTGAACACAATTAGAGAGTATAAACGTGTTATAATTCCAAACGATTCCATATATAGACTGAACTTTTTCTATAGTGCATTTGAGTTTTTTTGTTAACAAGTGCGCTATGTTGTTACTGTTTGTACGAAGTGCGATGCGGGGAATATGTTGTTATGCGATATTTTTATCCGATATCTTTGGACAATACTCAAGCGGTGCTGGGCGATCGACACTTATCTTCGGAGTACTTGGCCCTTAGACAAGATATCTCTCGCAGTGTTACTGTATTTGATATATTTAACGAGAGCTATCATCTCTTTTGATATTCAAAGACTCCCAAGATTACTAATAATTATGGAAAGGGTAAAACTTGAAAGAAAAAAATCATTAATAATATCGATTTTATTTCCGGTATTTATATGGGCCTTATACGTGCAATCTGTCGGAAATATGCTTTGATCATGACGTGGGACTTCTTTGAGAATGACTCACGTCCAGTTTCAGAAGTCTTTCTAAAATCGGAAAACGATCTGTTCTTTTGTACAAAAAATACAATATTGGACTATACGATTTTCAAAATAAGCGTCCTGCATTTTAACGGGACAGTAATTGATAATTTGTAATTAATAAGTATATGAGTATATGAATTATAGTATTATGCGTATAATGAAATTAAATTTTGAGAGTGTTCACATTTTTACACGATTTTTTTACGATTTTTTATATGGTATTGTACGATACGCATTTTGCATCGTTCAACGACCCGGCAATAACGATGCCATTTGTGATACTTTTCCTATAGGTATTGTACATTGAAGCTTAAATAAAAGATCTAAATACACACATGAAAGCGAATATGTATTTAATACGTAATTAATGATAATTTACTTGATGAAAC